AGTTGGGCGCAAGCGGCAGATCGCACGTTAGCCATCCTCTGTGGCAAAGAGGACCAGGCGAAGACGACAAGGGGACGACCAGTAAAGTATCGCATGGTGCCAGCAGCCTCGCGTCGTGGACCTCGCTATCAGGAACCAGAGCAAGTTAGACACGATCGATGGAAAGAGTTGGGATCTCAGAGTTGGCAGTTCCCACCAAGGAAGCCCGAAGACAGCAGCTTAGAGAAACGACACGTGGTCAGATGTCAAAGATTGTGCCGCTGGAGCACCCGCCCCTGCCTGCAAAGAGCTTCACAAGGGCGCGCCAAGACGAGAAATATGATTCCTGGGCTCTTGACATTGCTCGCAAGACAGAATTGGACTCAGAACATCTCTCATGGACGCAAGGCAAGCAGTACTTCAAGTGGCAGAGCGAGCTGAACGCCACGGCAAGAGAGCGCGGCAACAGCGAAGCTCAGCATTCAGCACTGGGCTAAGAAGGCCATGGACGGCAACATGAAGGACGCGCATGCCCACCCCAAGCGGCCTGGGCCGTTCTCCCTCCCAGAGTTGCGCATCGACCCAGACAGCAAAGGTGCCATTGCAAATCTCCAGACGGCAGTGGAAACGCGAGCACGACAGTGGAAAGCGAGGTGGACCAAGCATGACGAGGAAGAGGAGTGCATTGCTCAGATGAAGAGGCCCCGCAAGTTGGATGAGGAAGACCTTCCGTTTCGAGAGCCCATTTCGCTGGAGCAGTTAAAAGGGGCGTTGCGGGCCACGCCAGACTCATCGGGCCAAGGCTCTGATATTTGGAAGGCACAGCGCCTGAAAGCCTTAGGCCCTCAGGCCAAGAGCGAGCTTGCGAACCTGCTGACGAACTGCGAGCAGACCTTATCATGGCCACATCAATGGTTGCACATATGGTACGAATTATTGCGCAAAGGCGCCAACCTGAGGGCTGGAGACGAGCGACCGATTGGCCTGACACCACTGCGTGTGCGACTGCGGGGACGAGTACGCCAGACGACGATGGCAGAATGGAGCAGCAAGAAGGCAGCGTTCTGGGACGCAGCTGTGGCCAATTCGTCAGCTCTTCAAGCAGCGCTCGTCAGCATGGCCACGGACGAGAGGTGTGCTTGGGATGGAACGCCTGCGTGGGGATCCATTTATCTAGATATCAAGAAGTTCTACGACCCGACCAGCATCCAATTATTGATCGATAGAGCCCTGAAGCTCGATTTTCCACCAGCGAATTCATACCTCGATTGCGTTATCTACCTTGCCCCCCGAGCGATCAGAGCGGCTGGGGCCTTCGCCCCGCCGATCATTCCAGGGAACAGCATAGCCCCAGGGTGTAACAATGCGAATGATGGAGCCAGGGCTTTCTTGCACGAGGTGTTGGATCGAGCTCGCAGTCGAGTGCCTCGTGCACTTCCGCGCAATTATGTGGACGACGTCGCAGCGAGATCGGGCGGCACTTACCAGCAGGTCAAGCATGAGCTTGTAGCAGCGGCAGTTGAATTGGTCCGAGATTGCGTTGAAAGCAAGCTGGAGATGTCAGACAAATCTGCAGTCATGGCGTCTCACCCCAGCACCGAGAAAGCAGCATCGAGGGCAGTGCAACAAGTGGGCCAAGGCGCAAGGGGCAGCATTTGTTCGCGACTTGGGCATCGACATGGCGAGAGGACGAAAGAGGAGGACAACTACATCACAAGTACGACGCCGACCGGCCAAGGCACGGATACGCCGAGCCAGAGATTTCAAAGGGGCAGGCAAGCGCAGAAGGAAGCTGGCTACCCTCAACATGGTCAACGTCAGGGCCAAGTCGTCGCACGATGTTCCAGCCCTTGGCTGGTCTCCTTCGGCCGTCCGACGTGCGCGAGCTGAGGCGGCCGATATGCTTGGATCTACTACAGGAGGCAGAAGTACGTTCATGATCATGCTCTTGCACTACTTCGAGCATGACCCCAAGGCTGCGGGACTTCGGCGTCAAGTCCCAGAGTGGATAAAGCTTTGGAAGCGGTGGCCGCAGTACCACGACAAGCTCAGAGCAGGATGGCATGCAGCTGTACGGTGTACGGAGACTCCAGCGCGCACGACCGCGAGGGCGTTGGAACGTGGTCACGGGGCCGATGGCTGCGCTCACCCAAGGCTTGTCCGAGATGGGCTGGCAGCTCCCTGAGCCTAATGAATGGACGGATTCACATCATAATGCATTGGGAATGGCACGACAACCCAGCGAGAGCACACCTGGCATGGGGATCGGTGCCCCCTCGTCTTTTTGTGGAGAGACATTGCGAGATGGGCCAGGCTGTGTACAAGCAGATGGCGGAGGTCGACAGCGCCCAGACCCTCAACCGCAGCTGGCTATGACCAACATGACCGGCGAGCACAATCCTTTCGACGACATGGAAGAGACCACGCAGCACGGATCTCAGCAGGATGGGATGGTCTCTGCCATACATAATCATGGCCAAGGGCTCGCCGTCGGAACAGGACAAGCGCACTCGCAAGTGGAAGACACCAGGTGCCAGAGTACTCAACCACCGCATTTTCAACCAGAAGCAGAAGACACCATGCAGCTCATGGCGACCATCTTAGCGGACGTTACCAAGGAGTTGTCGCAACAGGCGGCCAGAGATCGCCATGGTGCAGTGTGGAACTCAACCCCAAACATGACATCGGCCAGCAGAGCTGCCCAGAGGATGCGGAGAATGGAGTCACACCGAGAAGCAGGTGCGCTTGAAGCAATAAGTTGCAATACTATTTGAACTGAAGGTCGCTGCCGAGCTGAAGGCTACGAGTGCGATGGAGTCTGTACCAGATGCACAACGGGCCAGAAGGAGACCATGGCCCACCACGTTTGGCATTGCCCTCATACGTGCGCTCAAGATCACCCTTGGATCAGACAGAGTGCTCGACTATGTGGAGAAGCAGTACAAGACATCACGAATGGGGCCAACTTGGAGCTGTGACTAAGAGGGCCACTGCCGTCCACATGGAACCCAGTGCCGCCTCCTCCTTCGTGGGGCACACCTTGCCTGCCGTTCTACATCGACTGGTGCGGCCCGACGGTCCAGGACAACGGCACGATGCTCTTCGAGAACCGTGTCGAGTGCAAGCTGGCCTTCCTGGGCGGCTCGGTCCCGAGCAGCGACGCGCGGATCGCGCGTGCAGGCTGGGGTGTCTACCTGGCCCAGTCTGCTGCTCGAGTGGAAAATGATGATCCGACCTTCCCTCGGCCTGGAGTATGTGGGGGAATTGACGGAGCCCAAACCGTCCCGTGTGCTGAGCTTGCGGCCTTCTGGTGGGCCTTGGAATTGACCAAGGGGCCGATATGGCTGTACACGGACAGCCAGATCGTATACGACGGTTGGCACGGCTTTTTTCTGACATTGCAGGTGGTCTCCGAGGTTGGTGGAGCCGTGTGCTTTTCGGAAGCTCGAGGTCGACAGGTGATGCTCAGTAAGTGTAATTCGCACCTTGGCAGAGTTTCGCTAGCCTCCCTGGTCCAATCCCCCTGTGTGACGCGAGGCAACGACCTCGCGGATAAGTTTGCCCAAATCGGAGTCGAACGGGTCACTCGAGATATTGACCCAGAGGTCCGTGAACTTGCGCAGTGTGAAGTCAAAGCTTGGTTGGTCCAGAGGAGGCCAGCTATTGTTAATGCGGCTGCCGCTTGTGCAGAAAATGAGCGCAAGAGCCGCCCGTGTAAGGTCCGTTGCGTGCCCGCTGCCTGGCGCGTAAGGAAGGATCTCGAGAGGTCTTCGGGGCACCCGCTTTCCAAGATAGGCCCCTCTTGGGTGTGCAGCCACTGCCAGAGTGGCCCAGGGAAGTTTTCGGTTTTGGACTGGCTCCGTGACGGTAAGTGTTTTGGACCCCAGTACCACAGGGTAGAGTCTCAAGGTAGGCCCGTTCGCTTCCCCCCTCGTTTTAGAATCGGGGATAGGGAGGTAAATGAGTCGCACACTGCGGCCATTTTGTATGGCCAGATATTATGTTGGAGGTGCGGGTGCCTGGGTTCCAAGACCCCCTCAGGCGGAAGGCTGGGGGTGGGCCTCGTGGGCCAGTGCAGCGGGCACCCCACCCCAGCAGGACGTGAGGACGTGAGCTTTCCTCTTCCACCAGCAGCATTATCCGCCAGCAGCATATCGTGGGATTTGCTGCTGGTTGTAATCGTCTTGTAATCTCCTCCTCCTCCTCCTCCTCTCCTCCTCCTTTCCTCCTCCTCTTCCTCCTCCTCCTCCTCCTCCTCCTCCTCCTCCTCCTCCTCCTCCTCCTCCTCCTCCTCCTCCTCCTCTCTCCTCCTCCTCCTCCTCCTCCTCCTCCTCCTCCTCCTCCTCCTCCCTCCCTCTCGTCCTTTTCCTCCTCCTCCTCCTCCTCCTTCTCCTCCCCGTCCTCCCGTCCTCCTCCTCCTCCTCCTCCTTTCCTTCTCCTACTCCTCCTCCTCCTCTCTTCCTTCTCCTCCTCCTCCTCCTCCTCTTCTTCCCTCCTCCTCCTCCTCCTCCTCCTCCTCTCCTTCTCCTCCTCCTCCTCCTCCTCGTCCTCCTCCTCCTCCTCCTCCTCCTCCTCCTCCTCCTCCTTGTCGTCCCGAAGCACCAAGCACACACAGACGGCACGTGGGTCTCCGGGGCCGACGTTGGGGCAGTCTTGGGCCGTCGTGGGGTCCACTCTGGCCGTCTTGCGGGCCCCCTGAGGGCATCGTAGGCCGCCTTGGGGGCTTGTGGGGCCGTCTTGCAGCGTTGGGAGCCCGAGGACGCGAGAACGCGAAAGTCATTGAACAGCCAGCAGGAAATCTGATCTTGGCCTCCTGGAGGTCCACTTGGAGCCCACTTGGGGCCTCTTGGGGGCCTCTCGGGCCGTCTGGAGGGCATCTCGGCCATCATGGCCGTCTTGGATGTGTATTTGGACCGTCTCGGAGGCCATCTCGGGGCGGGGGGAGAGCGACGACGCCCGTGGCGAGCCCGGGTAGTGCTGCAGGCCTGAAGCATTGCAGGCGCAGCGGCGGACATTCACAGCGTGCCGACCACCGCAGCAGAGGGGATGAAGTCCAGCCTGATGGGCATCCTGGAGACCAGGGGCAACGTTAGGGGCGGACAGGCTCAGGGGGGGGATGCATCTACCCCAAGCGCTCACTCATCGCCGATAGAGGCTTGATGGCACCAACCTGCCCAGCAACGTGCGGATCCGCGATCGAGGGCACATCGCCGATCTATCGGCGATGTATCGCCGATTCAAGCTCAATGCTTCCCCCTCTGAGTTGGACCCCCCCCCTCACGTTCCCCCTCAGGAGAAGCCGAGGTTCATCAATTTTGTAAAGTTCGTCACCGAGTGGGACGACGGCGTCGTCGCGACGCACGGCGGGCTGGACGCCCGCCGCCACACCATGGCCCAGGTGTACGAGAAGTTCGGCCTGCAGGAGGCCACGGTCGACTTCATCGGCCACGCCGTGGCCCTCCATCCGAACGACGACTACCTGAACAAGGCAGGGCGCGAGCTGAAGTGCGGCTTGGCGATTCCATGTGCCGTTTTCGTGCTGGCTTGGTTTCGCAGCGAGGGCGGAACGAAGACAGAACGAGGGAAAACGAAAACCAAACACGAACGGAAAGCATTGTTCAGCTCGAGCCTTGAAACAAGGCGTGCGGCCCAACCATCCAGAAGTGCAAGCTCTACCTGAACTCGCTGATGCAGTACGGAGGCTCTCGAATAACAAACAAAAACGCATACATGTAAATTGTTGGAGCTCCGCGCGGAGTGATTGGATCGGCGTTGGACCCCACCAAAAAAGGCATATACATGAATTGTTGGAGCTCCGCGAGGAGTTCTTGGATCCGCGCCGGGCCCCCTTGGCGGCGCCTCTGGCGCCACCCCTGGCGCGCTCCGCGCTCAAGGGGGGGTCGAGCGCGGATCCAAGAACTCCGCGCGGAGCTGCGAAAGTTACTGTTTATGCCGTTGTTTCTTCCTCTAGAGGTTCCCCCTTCATCTACCCGATCTACGGGCTGGGAGGCCTGCCGGAGGGCTTCTCCCGGCTCTCGGCCATCCACCGCGGCACTTACATGTTGAACAAGCCAGTGGACGGCCTGGAGTTCGACGACGCGGGCAAGGCACCCGGCCTGCGCGAAATGGGGCTTCTGAGAGCAGCCGCAGGGGATGAACATAAGGAGAACGCTACAAGCTACGTGATTTGACTCCGACTAACTTCAAGAGCGAACAGAAGGGGAAGAAGGAGGAGGAGGAGGAGGAGGCCCAACGTCACTCCTCGGCCTGGGCTGCAGCTCTGCTATGTTGCCAGGGGTGTGCGCGGCACGGGATCGCGAAGATGACCGCGCGTCGCACTCTGCGCTCTGCGCGTGAGTTCGAAGTTGGCCCGAAGGCCACAGCAACTACGTGAGGTACCTTCTGCTGTTCTCCCTAGAAGGTCTTATGTTTACCCTGCAGATGTCCCTGGGAGGCCTTCTGCCTGGGCCGTGCGGGCTGTTCCTGGAAGGGCTGACCTGGGACTTCGTTCGCGGGACACACCTCCTCCCTCTTCCTCTGCTCATCTCCCGCATCACCCCTCCCCGGATGAGGTGATCGGTGTGCGCTCCGGCGATGAGGTTGCCAAGGCCCCCCTGGTGATCTGTGACCCCTCCTACGCGGGCCCGGCCAAGTCGGCTGTGAAGGGCAAGATCATCCGCGCGATCTGCATCCTCGGCGCGCCCATCCCAAACACAAAGAGCACCGAAGGTGCCCCTGCGACGTCGTGCCAGATCATCCTGCCGCAGAAGCAGCTGAAGCGCAAGAACGACATCTACATCATGATGATCTCGTGGGCCCACTGCATCGCCGCCAAGGACAAGTACGTTGCCATTGTGAGCACCGTCGTGGAGACCGCCAACCCAGAGCAGGAGATAGAGCCTGCCATCAAACTCCTCGGCCCCGTTCTCGAAAAGTTCGTCCAGGTGTCCGAGTACAGGGAGCCCACCGACGATGGCACAAAGGACCAGGTGTTCGTCACGGCGTCTTACGACCCGACGTCGCACTTCGAGGATGCCTCGAAGGAGGTGCTCCAGATGTGGAAGCGGATCACGGGCAGCGACTTGGACCTGACCATCACGGAGCAGGACCAGGAGGATCAGTGAGGACGCGGCCCGCGGGGTTTGGCACCCCCTTCTCTGCCGTCTCGGCTCACGGCTCCCCTCCTCGCCCCTTCCACGCTCCCCCCGCTGGAACGGTAGTTCTGGGAACGCACTGGCTAGACAGACCGGCGGAAGCTCGGCGAGAGATCCGCTCGCCCACGGTCCGATGGGAAGCACCATCAGCACGATCCGCGATCCCCGAAGACGCGGGCACGAGCGAGGCTCTGCTCCCGCCCGCAAACTTTTCGGCGGTCCGCGTTGACTTCTTGGGCCAGCGCCAGCACCCCCCTCCCCGCACATGACTTCTGGCGGCGCCTCCGGCGCCGACCCCCGCGCGCGGGACGTTCTGGGGCAGGGTGCGGGAAGGAGACTGCCCAGCGCCATCCCGAGAGCTCCGCGCGGCCTCCGAAAGTTGTTTCGGGGCAAGGTAAGACTCGACTTCGCTGGAACTCGGGCTCGCCTACGCTTTTCAATGGGCCGGTCTTGAGTTCTGGCGGTCCAGTTGCCGTTAATTGTCTACCGCGGGAACGCGCGCCAGATTTCAATTTGGGCCTCGTCACTTTCCTGAGAGCCCCGTCAGGCCAACTCGAGTCCCCCGAACCCGAGTCTTACGTCTCCCCGATACGGGGGGCCAAATTTAGTTCTGGAGTGAGCACGGGCATGGATGAAGCGTCGATCACATGGACCCTCAGAGTTGATGTTGCGGAAAAGTAGAAGCCTTGCAGAAATCACGACGATAACCCGAGACCCCATCATTCTGCTACATTTCTCGAGTCGGATCGATATGTGAAGGTCCAGGGGCCCGAAACCGGGCGAAAATGCCCGGTGTGAAAGATTCGCATCGTCCGGATTTGAGGCTATGAATAAATAGTCGGTCGGTTGTCTCCCGAACCCGAGTCTTATTCGGGCGGGGCCAGGACGAGGAGCAATCCGTTCCAGGGCGCTCCAAGAAGGCTCTCAGAGCATCCCAGGACGCTCCGAGAAGGCCGCGGCGCCCGAGACATCTTCCATGAGCCGCCGGAATGCAGAGAGTCTCGGTTCCAAGACCCCCGCCGTCATGATTTGTTCATTGCGTCGGCCCCTGGAAGTCCCGACCCTTTCCCCCGGCCCGGTTTTGCGTCCTGCAGTCTTTTTGTTGACGGTCACGAGGCCCGGCGAGGGGCCGAAGATAGCTCCAAAAACATCCCGTCCCGATTTTTTTTGGCCACGCGATCATGTCTGGGATGTTGTCCTCGTCCTGGCCTCGTCTTGCTTGCGTCTCCCCGACTGCTGGTGATGTCGCCTGCCCACCTCCTGCCGTCGGGGCGGGGGCTCCCCCCGTCCCCGGGCGGGCGGCCCCCTGGGCCCCCACGAAGCCACGCGGGCCGCGCCTGCCAGGCCCCGCCGGGCGCATCGTCCTTGTCCCTCCTCCTCCTCCTCCTCCTCCTCCTCCTCCTCCTCCTCCTCCTCCTCCTCCTTCTCTCCTCCTCCTCCTCCTCCTCCTCCTCCTCCTCCTCGTCGTTCTCATCCCTCCTCCTCCTCCTCCTCCTCCTCGTTCTCATCCCTCCTCCTCCTTCTCCCCCTCGTTCTCAGACCTCCTCCTCCTCCTCCTCCTCCTCATTCTCATCCTTCCTCCACCGCCTCCTCTTCCTCCTCCTCGTTCTCATCCCTCCTCGTCCTTGTTCTCATCCCTCCTCCTTCTCGTCCTCCTCCTCCTCCTCCTCCTCCTCCTCGTCCTCCTCGTCCTCCTCGTCCTCCTCGTCCTCCTCGTCCTCCTCATCCGTCATTGCCGACCTCAAGAGGGGCATGCACTGATGGGGAGGCTCGGGGCCACGTCCTCAGCGTGGCGCTGGTACCGTTGTTGAGGTGGTTGCGGAGATCTCCTCGCGGGCATGCTCTGATTGAGCCTCGGAGTTAAGATTGAGTCGGGCTTGTCACTCCACAGGAGGAATATTCAAAAATAGTCAAAAAATAGTCTGGGGACTATTTTTCTATTATCCGTAAGGGCTTCGCCCCCTGCCGCCGGCCCCCTCTCTCGGAGAATGGGCCATGGAAGAGCGAAGTCATGAGGCTTTGGCTTCACCGTGAAGCAGCGTCGGAATTTCATGCGAAGACGATGGGTAATTGGCAAGACGGATGGGGATTGCGAGTTTATTGTTGTACTCGCTGTTGTATTTATTTCAGAAATGTGGCACCCCCCTGTGTTTTTGGACCCTGATCCCGCCGATCTGCGTGAGGGGTGTCACCGAATTCCAGAAATGTGGCAAGTCCCATGTGTTTTTGGACCCTTACCCCGCCGATCTGCATGAGGGGTGCCACCGAATTTCAGAAATGTAGCAAATCCCATGTGTTTTTGGACCCTGACCCCGCCGATCTGCGTGAGGGGTGCCACCGAATTTCAGAAATGTGGCAAATCCCATGCGTTTTTGGACCCTGACCCCGCCGATCTGCATGAGGGGTGTCAATGTTTACCCACCCTAGCAGTTCAGAGCATACGTTTTGGCCGTCGTAAAAATGCCAGTGTTGGGCCTCCCCCCCTCGCGCGGTCCATCAACAAGGAACAGTAAGCAGCAAGAAGTCAACAAGGAACAGTAAGCAGCAAGAAACAGAACCGTAACAGTGGAAACTGGAAGTTGCAACTGGTACAGGAAACTGCGAATTCCCGGCCTGCAGCCTGGTGGCACCAGGAGGGGGCCAGCGGATTGTTTGACTATTTTGGGGTATTTTTGACTATTTTTATTTTTCGCCCAAAATCCGCCTGTAGGGGAACATGCCCGACCTAAGGTTAAGAACACAATCCAAAACAGGCGTTCTCCCTCCTCGCGGTCAGCCCCCGCCCAAGACGACGGCGAAGACGACGACGACGACGACGACGACGACGACGACGACGACGACGACGACGACACGACGACAACGACGACGACGACGATGACGACGACGACGAGTGCAACGGCGAATGCTGAGTCGACGACAAGGACGACGACGAAGACAATGTCGACCACGACGACAACGATGGCTCCTCAAAGTAGGCCCCCCCAGGCATGTCCCGAGGCGCGCCCTGACCAGCGTGCCTCGAGGCGGGTCCAGTCGTGGTCAACGGTGCGGCTGAAAGGTATCGAGATTTCTTAATGACAACGACAACGCCGACGACGCCGACGAGATCCACTCAAATCGTGGTCGTCGCAGTCTTATGCCGAGCACGTCCTTCTATATTCAAAAATAATCAAAGAATAGTCTGGGGACGATTTTTTCAGTATGTTTTAGCATTTTGGATGCATTTTTTGACTATTTCCATTTTTTCGCCCAAGATCCGCCTGTAGGAGGACATGCCCAACCTAATTGTAATCGTTGTCGACTCCATCACCGTCGCCGGCGCCAAACTCACGTTGCCTCTTCCAGCGACGATGGCGCCGCCGCCGCCGCCGCCGCCGACGACGACGACGACGACGACGACGACGACGACGAAGACGACGACGACGACGACGACGACGACGAAGTCCACCCGAAATCTGTCCCTGGACCCCTCCTGGGACCCACCCCTGCCAGATCCTCACTTGGGGTCGATGACTGGCGGCCGTGGGCGCCCGAGACGGACCCACGGAGGCGGAAGCCGAGCAAAAACTTCCGGCCCGACTTCTGCCTGTCTGGCATCGACAGAGGCGACGCTGGCGGCGGCGGCCGCCGCGGCGACGACGGCGCCTCGCACGCAGAAGGCGATCCGCGGCGGCCACTTCGCCGTCGCCCGGCTGCTGCTGGAGCTGCGGGCGCCAGCCCCAGCGCGCGCGGTCGCGCTCGGGCCCGCCCGCTACTTATGCCGCCGCTGCCGCCGTGGTCGGCCCAGGGGTCGACGGCCCCTGAGATCCGGCCGCTGCAGCTGTTTCACTCCTCCTCCTCCTCCTCCTCCTCCTCCTCCTCCTCCTCCTCCTCCTCCTCCTCCTCCTCCTCCTCCTCCTTCTGGCGTAGCCGCCGCTTCTGCTCAAGCCACCTTTCCAGCGGCCAAGCAGGCACCCCGCGCAGAGCAGCTCCGCCCGCCGATGGCGCCGTCCATGACATGCCAGCCTGGCTGGCCTCCATATTCTTCATGAAGATCTGGATCGATATGCCGTTCCTCCGAGGGGGAGTATTTAAGCCTTTCTCGCTGCTGGCGCTGCATAGCCGCCTCGTGATCAGCCACACCCACATCGCCATGGACGCGCAGCTGCCCCCAGCTACGAGTTGGCGACAGCGCGATGCCAGCTCAGAGGTCGACCAGCTCAATACTCTCAAGCACGAAGTCTACACGTATGGCCAAGGCCGCGGACCGCCCACCAATAGTCATGATGGAAGAGAGATCATGGTGAGCTACCAGCGGTTCGGTCAGCGAGCCGTCGTCGATATCAAGAGCCCGCCCAAGCAGATAAAAGGATGCGCTGGTGCTCTACGCTACCAGAACGGCGAGCGCGACCTCGCCTTCATCGTGGCCTACTTTTCGCCTCGCTCGGGGCGTGCGGCGTGCGGCAAAGTCCATCCAGTGGATCACAACGGTCAAAGAGACGCACAAGTGGATCAACAGGACGCTTCATGCCACACCGACGTGCAGCACACCGTCGAAAAGGCATTGACTTCAAAGATCATAAATACGGAGCTGACGGACTCCTTGCAGATGAAGTACAAGAGGCCTTCGGAGACTCACAACTACTAGGTCGGCCAGGTAAAGCAGCAGCCCCCTGCTATAACATGATGGACGTTTACGGATTCCGCCTCCCCAGTACCTTCTGGAAGGATGGCCCTACCTATTTTTGGTGCTGCAGGACAAGCTACGAGACCCGTTTACCTCGTGGTTCCCCAAGGGCTATTGCAGAACCTCCAGACGAGTGGTATTTGGTGGAAGGCAGTGAAAACGGTGCAGCAGCTTAAGGACAGCGTGCAGAGGGACCCCAAGCCACTCATCGCCAGGGCCGACATAGTCATGCCCAATATCTTCTCAGACATTCTTCGGACGTTATGGGATTACGACAAAATGGCAGAGTCTCTACAGACTGGGGATTATCGCAATGAGTTCACATTAGCTCTCGCGACCTCGCAGGAGAACAACACAGATACCATCCGCGAGCCCAAAGAGCAGGGCACCACATACGCCCAGGGGAAGGTGCTGATCGACATGATCAAGACCACAGCCAAGCCCTACGTCGAGAGAAAACAAAAAAAAAAGCCCGGTACCAGCAAGCAGCTCATGGCTGAGAAGCTCGAGCGTATGAAGAAAAGTGCGGAGCTATGCAAGCAGTACATCGACGCAGGGATTGAGCTTGTCATCGGAGAGAAGCTGGACACACTCACGAGAGCTATCATGAAGAGGAAGCAACTTCACGTCGCAGCGCGCAAGAGAGCACCAGAGGCACAGATCTCTGAGGCATGGCAAAAAAAAAGGCAGCACGTAGAAATACATCGGCTCAACAGGTGCATGGCAGGCGCCAGCCATGGCAAGACGCAACTACTACAGCAGGGCAACCCGTTCGAGACCGAGCCCCGCCGAGAGGACTACGCACGGTGCACTCAATGGCGCTCAGGGGGGATTTCAGCCTCACCCTGTCGTCTTCGAGGAAGAGGAAAAGCTGCTCCTTGCCGCCTACGAGGGCCGCGGCGACGACATCAAGCAGCAAATCAAGGACGAGTATCACGTGAAGAAGGAGTACTTGGACGTTGCCAGCTGACATTTCCCAGATCACCCTGCAGCCTACAGTCGCCACAAAGAGAAAGCCGCTGACCCAAGGCCTCGGTTTCTACGAGGAGCTGATGGAGGCGCCGCCGCGGACCGCGCATTGTCTCGAAGGGCTACTTCACCATGTCTACCGGGTCGGCCTCGCTCCACTGGACGCTCATCACAGCCCAAGCTTCGCGCTCGACAAGCCGAACGCCAAGCCCTCAGTTCAAGTATCGCGTATACTGCACATGTATTGGCCACTCAGGCGCTACGTGTACTGTCAACTACACTGCCTGTCTCTTCCTGGACAAGATCAACGCAGCGTCGGTACTTCTCAAAGTCTTATACCTCAAACTCAGCAAGTGCTTCGACTCCTACTCTGCGTAGCTCTTGCTCTTCGTGCAGGGCCCATTGAAGGGCGCGGAGAACGAGGGGGAACCGACGGAGGAGCAGCTGCAGTGGGTCAGCATCCAGGATACCATTCACCGTGCACTACTTCAGATAGGAGCGCTGGTCAAGGATGGCAAGGCACCAGCGGGGGACAGGGCTGGTGAGCTGGCTGCCTGGCTTGCAGGACAATGAATTTGCATGGGGGCCGACGATCTACGCCATGGTCGGTTTCAAGCTCGGCGCGCGCGACGCCGCGAGCTGAGCGAAGGCGCCCGCGCTGCGCGGGCGACGGCGGGGGCTGGAGCAAGAGGCACGCGCCAGACTCCGCCCCCCGAGGCCGCTCTTATTCTTCTTCTTCTTCTTATTATTCTTCTTCTTCTTCTTCTTCTTATTCTTCTTCTTCTTCCTATTTTTATTATTCTTCTTCTTCTTCTTCTTCTTCTTCTTATTCTTTCCTCTTTCTGGCGTTTTCGCCTGGTCTTGGGCCCTGGGGCCATCGCAGATGGATCCGGCTCGAAGAACGCAGCGCAAAGATGGGGCCCAGGGCTCTAGCCGTGTTCTCTTTGGCGATGCTGCATGTTTGTCGCAACGTCGGAACTCGGCGGCCCAGGTCTCTGCGCGTTTGTTCAGGCATCCTTGGCCTTGCAGGAGTGCCCCCGCGGCCACGGCTGAGTTCCCTTGCGCATCCCCAGCCAGAACGCACATTGGGAAAGATCCAGGGGCGTTGGTCGTCGTCGCGCCGCCGGCGGAGGAGTAGGAGGAGGATGAGCCCAAATGTAGTCAGCCACAACGCTGGGATCAACGCGCGCGAGAAGGGCGAGCAGTGGTTCAACGAGATGCGGGAGTCGACCCTGGAACCCGAGGTCATAGCTACAGCGACGGGATCAGAGTGTGCATAAAGGGCCGTAAGTGGCGATTCTATCGCTGGTCAGCATGATTCGGGAGGCGAATCTGCAGCCCGTCATCAGACTTGGTTCCTGGAGATCCGACGTTGCGAAGAAATTAAGGCCACATCTGACTGCAGGATTGTTCGAGGCGGATCGATATGTGAGGGTTCCGGGGCCCGAAATGGGGCGAAAGTGTTCGGCGCGAACAAACATGCGACGCCAGGATTTCAGGGTTGCAGGTATGATCGAAGACGCTTTCGGCGAATATCCGCCGCCCCGTGCCTTTTCGAAAAGCGCCTATGTGGCCAAACGTTTGGCGAGAGTTCGGCCAGGCTATCGGAATATGTGTTCCCCCAGCCGCTCTGGAAACTCAGCATTCGGGGCAAGACAAGGGGGAGGATCAGGAGAGGGAGAAAGGAGAAGGACGAGGACCAGCAGGAGGAGGACCCTTGGGAGCCTCTTGGGACAGTCTTGGGGCTACCCGGGAGTTTCCTGAGGGCCTTTTGGAAGCTTCTTGGGATCTTCTTTGGAGGGCCCTGGAGCCCTGAAATAGGTAGACCCAGACATCCGGCTGCTCCAAAAATTGTTCGATGCATGGGCCCCGGAGGTCCGGACCACTTCCCCAAGGCCGGACCACTTCCCGAAGCGTGCCTCGACGCTCCCGGGGCCCGGCGAGGGCCTCCGGGGCCCGAGAACAGCGCAAAGCCGCTTGCTTCAAGTTTTTCGGGAGCGTCGGACCCTCTGGGGAGGAGAGGCCCCGGGATGGAGGTCCGAGGACGAGGGGAGGAGGAGGAGGAGGGGGAGGAGGAGGAGGAGGAGGAGGAGGAGGAGGAAAATGAAGAAGAAGAAGAAGAAGAGAAGAAGAGAAGAAGAAGAAGAAGAAGAAGAAGAAGAAGAAGAAGGAGGAGGAGGAGGAGGAGGCAGGGAGGGAGGGAGGGAGGAGGAGAGCCCCCGGGAGAGCGCGGCGGCCGCCGCAACCGGCCCCGGCGGGCCTGCTGAGCGTGCCGAGGCCCGGCCGCAGGGCGCCCCTGCCGGAGGCGCCGCCTCCCCGCTGCACCTGGCCGCGCGCCTCGGCCGCGCAGCCCTCTTGGAGGAGCCGCCCTCGGCGGCGCGGCTGTCCTCCTCCTCCTCCTCCTCCTCCTCCTCCTCCTCCTCCTCCTCCTCCTCCTCCTCTCCTCCTCCTCCTCCTCCTCCTCTCCTCCTCCTCCCTCCTCCTCCTCCTCCTCCTCCCTTCCCCTCCTCCTCCTCCTCCTCTTTCCTCTCCTCCTCCTCCTCCTCCTCCTCCGCCTCCTCTCCTTTTCCTCCTCCTCCTCCTCCTCCTCCTCCTCCTCCTCCTCCTTCCTCCTTCCTCCTTCCTCCTTCCTCCTTCCTCCTTCCTCCTTCCTCCTTCCTCCTTCCTCCTTCCCCCTTCCTCCTTCCTTCTCCTCCTCCGTAGCAATTATGGCTCATGCTCGGGGAGCGCCGAGCAGGTCGCGGCGGGCGGTTCACGCGGTCTTTCTCTGTCGCGACGGGGTCGGATGACCTCTGGGGGCGGATGGCGGCGTTGCCAGCGGCCCAGGCGGCGTTCGGCGCGGCAGCCGCGGCGCGCGGAGCTGCCCAGGGCGCCGCTGCGGGCGCAGCTGGAGCAGGTGCTGACGCGTCGGCCTGCGGCGGGGGGCCCAAGAGCAAGATCGCGCTGATCGCCGAGGTCCTCGACGCGGTAGGCGAGACGTCGGACCTGGAGTGGCCAATCCCGGTCCAGGACGCCAAGGGCCTCCTGCGGGACAGCGGGGCGCGGTCGCTGGCTCCCCGCCTTGGGAGTCTCAGCAAGGCGCGCAACGCCAGGGGCCATCCTAACGTTGGCCTAGCGAGGGAGGCACGTGCTCACTTCAGGGGCGGCGGGGTCCCCGTTGCCAAGGCGGCCGACAGCGTGCAGGAGCAGGTGAACGACGGCTTCTCCATTGGCGCGGTCTCCGCGGCGGCGGTGGAGCAGCTCGGCATCGGCTCGTGGACGGAGTTGGCGGGCTCGCTGTCCGTAGAGATGGGCACGCAGACGGAGGACCAGATCGACCAGGAGCACAAGCTCGGGGACTCGCGGGAGGTGTGCGAGGTGCCGCCCGAGGCCCCCGAGGAGCTGGAGGTGAGCGCGGGGGAGTTCGTGGAGGTCGGGTTCGCGCTGGATCCGCAGCTGACGACCAGCAGGAGGCGGGAGGCTGAGAGCGGGCTGGTCCCGTGGCCCAATGCGCCAGTCCCAACGTTCCGCTTGCTGGAGGACGGCGCAAACTTGAAGCGGTCCGCGGTCGGCTCGGACGTGGGGCCCCACGGCGCCGACGACGTCGGCAGTCTGAACGTGGAGTTCGCGCGCTCGGCTGGCGACGCGGCCGCGATCGTGGAGGAGCAAGGAGGTGCACCACCCGTGGAGGTGCGCTCGGGGGCGGCGACGCTGGCCAAAGGCGACAAGGTGGTGGTCATCGTGCCTTTTCGCGCCATACGCCAGCCTCGCCCCTCCCCCCTCGGGCGCACCGGCGTCGTGCAGTGTGTCCGAGGCTCCGTGGCGAGCATCGCGTGGGACGACCCAATGAGGAGCCGCGGGTGCGAAGCCGCGAACGTGCCGAGGCAGAGCTGGCCGTGCCTCGCCAGCGTCGAGGGTGCGGAGGCTGCGCCGTTGCCGCCGAGTCGCAGGCCCAGGCACAAGATGACCCCAAGCTGAGCGGGGTCGCGCGTCGGGCAGCCTTGTCTTCGCGCTGGGCGTGGCTCGAATTTCTCTGGGAGCGGCCTCGGGGGGCCGCTGGTCTCGCCCGTCTGTCCCCGCGGGGGTGCCTTCGGTCCGCCTGGACTGCCATTCGGGTAATCCAGGCTTTGACCGATGCCTGTCTGGGCTGCTTCGGGGTCCCCTCGTTGCCGACACTTGGCTCTGTCGCGAGCGGGCGGCGGCGACTCTTGACTCGACATCTAGGGCCTTGGCGGTCGTCTGCTTGCAGACGGCCGCCAAGACCTCTTTGATGATTGCCCATCCATCCTCCTCCTCCCCCCCCTCCTCCTCCTCCTGCTTCCTCCTCCTCCTCCTCCTCCTCCTCCTCCTCCTCCTCCTCCTCCATCATCATCATCATCATCAGCATCATCAGCATCATCATCATAATCATCATGCTCCTCCTCCTCCTCCTCCTCATCCTCATCCGCCTCCTCCTCTTCCTCCTCCTCCTCCGTCCTCCTCCGTCCTCCTCCTCCTCCTCCTCCTCCTCCACCTCCTCCTCTCCTCCTCCTCCTCCCTATTCCTCCTCCTCCTCCTCCTCCTTCCTCCTCCTCCTCCTCCTCCTCCTCCTCCTCCTCCTCATCATCATCATCATCATCATCATCATCATCATCATCATCCTCATCCTCATCCTCATCCTCATCCCCACCACTCCCTCCTCCTCCTCCTCCTCCTCCTCCTCCTCTCTCCTCCTCCTCCTCCTTCCTCCTCCTCCTCCTCCTTCTCCTCCCCTCCTCCTCCTCCTCCGCCTCCCCCTCTTCCTCCGCCTCCTCCTCCGTCTTTTCTCCTCATGCTCCTCCCCATGCTCCTCCTCCTCCTCCTCCTCCTCCTCCACCTCCTCCTCCTCCTTCTCATCGTCTCCTCCCCTCCTCCTCCTCCTCCTCCTCTCCTCCTCCTCCCCCTCCTCCACCTCCTCATCATCATCCTCTTCCTCCCATCATCCTCCTCTTCCTCATCTTTCCTCCTCCTCCTCCTCCTCCGCCCCCCCTCCTCCGCCTCCTCCTCCTCCTTCTTTTCTCCTCATGCTCCTCCCCTCCCCATGCTCCTCCTTCCTCATCATCATCGTCCTCCTCCTCCACCTCCTCCTTCTCCTCCTCCTCCCCCTCCTCCACCTCATCATCATCCTCTTCCTCCCCCTCCTCCTCATCCTCCTCCTCATCTTCCTCCTCCTCCTCCTCCTCCCGCCCCTCCTGCTCGTCCCAATCGGCCTCTTCGTCGTCGCCTTCGTCGGACGAGGGGACCTCCTGGAGGAGCCGCCCTCGGCGGCGCGGCCCTGCCGCGAGTTTGCGGCTCGCTGCCGACGACGACGACGACGACGACGACGACGACGACGACGACGACGACGACGACGACGACGACGACGACGACGACGACGGCGGCGGCGGCGGCGACGACGGCGGCGACGGCGGCGGCGGCGGCGACGACGACGACGACGGCGGCGACGGCGACGACGACGACGGCGGCGACGGCGGCGGCGACGACGGCGAGGGCGACGACGTTGAGCCGTCGCAGGCGATCTTTCTCCCCCACCCACCCCGACTCTTCCGCGAGATATGGGGCCGTTCGGGAAAGGAGGGGGCCCCTGGGACACACACCAAGTGGGGGGGCTGTTCGGACGCACCCCAATCGAGGATGGACGCCCCCCCATCCAAAGTTCTGGCCCACTCGAGCACCCACGAAGCCTGGGAGAGGGGTCGACAGATTCCCCTGTTATGCCCGCTGCTGCTGCTTGCTGCCGAGGGTTCGCTCGGGGGCCTCGCTCGCATCGCATCCGGGCGGTGCAGTTTTGCAGATGGCCTCGGCCGATGTCGAGATGGCCCAAAACTTACGTCGGGCATGTCCCTGTACAGGAGGGATATTCAAAATAATTAAAAAATCGTCTGGCGACGAGTTTTTGGATTATTTGTCGATTATGTTTTAGTGGTTTGTTTTTGACTATGTTTTATTTTTCGCTCAAAATCCGCCTGTAGGAGGACATGTCCGACCTAACCCAAGACGTGCCCAGATCACGTCCCATCGTGCTGAATACCGCACGGGAGAGTGGCTACATCACGCCGTCCGAGGCCCGTAGCGCTCTTGAGGCACCCGAGATCCCTAAGTGAACCTTTTTTCTTTGCTGCTTTAAACAAAGAATCGTACTGCATACCGCTCCTGGCCTGCGGGTCGCAGCCCCTGACCAAACCGCAGGGGAAATGAGCCTCGGATGGCCGCCCCTGGCCTCCTTCGCGGGCCGGGCCTAGGGCTTGCCTCGTTTCGGGCCCCAGAGCCCTCGCGGTGGTGCGTGTTGTTCTGCGGTTCCGGGATCTCCGGCGATACGATTTCTTCAATCCGGGAGCTGTTCCTCGGTGATGGCCTCCAGGGTCTGCTTTCGGGCCCTGGGGAAGGTGTCGGGACCTTCGGGGCCGTGCATTGAAAATCAGATCGTCGGATGTTTGGGTCCGGGGGGGATGATCGAGTAGTTTGTAAGGTTCCCTCTGCCGCTTTCCACCGCCGCCCGCCACCGCCTGTCCCATGAAGCCGGTTGCAGCTTGCGGACTCAGGTAAATAGTCGAATCGCGAGAGTGATAACACGAGCGCAACAGGTCTGCGCGCGTGCCTGCGCGTCTCTTTTGGTAGCGCCGGCCTAACGCACACGGTTAGGCATGTCGACCAACGGGAAGATATGCCCCCTGGGCTTCACTACAGTCGGGGTGGGTTATCATGAGGATCAATTACAGCTAGGAGAGGACAAAGTAGAATATGGCATCAAGAAGACCAGCATACAGTCTACGCGCCTAGTAAGGTCGCGCGCCTTCATCTAGGGTGCCCTTGTGTCCCTGCCTCTGCGGCCCGCCTATTGCTGTTTTCACTCGCCCCTCCGTGGGTCAGGGTAGCCTTGCATCCCTGGGGTGTGGGTCGCCCACCGCCCAAAGAAAAATCCCAACTTCGGTCTCCAAGGGTCCTGCGTCCTTGCAACCCGTCCTTCATACACGTGGGCGACGTAACAAAAAAAATAACGGGGTCGTCTGCGCCGACATTGGCGCGTAAGTTGCCCGCGTAAGCCCGCGCGTAAGCGCCCTCGTTCAAAATGTAATGTGCCGCGCGGGCGGCCCGCGTAAGCCGCCGCGTAAGGTCGTTACCTCATCTCGCGTAAGACCCGTTTTTGATCGTCGCTCACGTGTGGACTGTACAGTGACTAACAGGCTCAGGGGAGGATGTGCGGAATGTCCGCGGCTTTCTGGCGCGCTCGTGGGTTACCACATGCTTCCCTGCCCCGAGGGCTGCTCTCCAGCAGCCGTGCCTCGCCATCCGGGATGGCTGCCCAGGTCGTCCCGAACGGCCGCCGCAGGCCCGAGCTATGAGCCGAAAGCCGGAAGACATGGCT